GACATTTACATCTGTACCTAAAATAACTTAACCGTTCACAAGTTAGACTCGCTGTAGTTTGGTATAGGCCAGAACATAGTCGTAACAATATCATTTGCTATTGGGAGGGTGTATTAAATGAACTTTGTTGTTTAAGATCCACATTACTGCCATTTTACAAATGAAAACTTCCTCCATGTGTCTCTCATTTACCTTAAGGTAACACCAAGGTTTGTTGCTTTAAGAATCGAGAAGTAGCAAATAAAATAAAATACAATGTGGAAACATGTATTATCTCTCAAAATGAAAACCCTAAATGAAATGTTACTGTAATAGCAGCGACTGGGGCTTTTCGTAGAAGCCCTTTCTTAGTCACATTTCTGGTAAAGTCATATGAAGCGAGGATATGGAACGCTCCTTTTACACATACAGCATCAACACAAAATATTAGCAACAGTAATTGTTTTGTAAATGCATATTTAGATAAATACTCTAAGCAAATTTATCAACATGCTCAATTTAGTGGAAGTTATTAATGTCTTTTAAGTACTCACCCACCAACCAGCATGTCTGATCTATCCAGGCCTGATAAATGTAAACACCGCATTAATCTACACTCACCAGATTGTTCCAATAGCAGAATTTTACTATCATTATGTTCCTTTTAGTACCACGTGATTTCAGGTTATTTCAGTTTTCTCTTTAAAGCTAAACACAGCAAGGTTTGGCTAATAGCGCTTTTGACACAATAAAGAGCGCTCACGTCATCTAACACAGCTGCTAACACGCACACACAAATTGCCACACATCACCTGGCTTCTGAGCTACAGAGTGATGCTTCAGAGCAGTTTATCCTGCAATTTTATTTTTGGAAACACCTCGATTAGCTTTAGCTGATTTGTCCTGCTGGCAGGCCTGGATTTAAAACGAGCTTCATCACAAAAGGTAAATTGTTACAACAATAAAATGGCATCTTGTTTACTCAAGAGTCTACAATCACGCTCCCATTTTCCCGGCTCGCAGAACACACGTGGATCCATGATTGACATCAGAACGAAATGGTTGACAGGAACAGTCGAGGACTAAGTTGTTCAGCTGACTCAGAATTAAGTGAATGAGCGGTGAATCAACTTTGTTAGTATGATGGGACAGTGATTGTAGGTTGACGCTTGGCTCATTAAATGAAAGACTTTTGCGCTTGGCTCATGTTCTGAACTGTGTTAAGTAGTTCATTTGAACAACCTGCTTAAAACTGTACACCTGCATACGAACGTCTACATTTTATACATTTCAGCAACACATCCACAGCTACTTCTAATCACTTCGCAGGAAAGAGTTTTATCTCCTGCTCAAGGACACGCGAGCCAGGCATGTCACATGTGACCTTGTTGTTATAGGACAGTCATTGCAGTGACTAGGACACCAAGATTAAGACACATCCGTTCCTTTGAACTCTTCTTCAGAACAAAGCATAGAGGGGAAAATATTGCGCTCCTCTCTTCTGAATTTTTTGTGCGTATAATTTAGTGGAGAAAGATGGCGGTGTTAATTTAGCAAAACCTATGAGAGACTTCTTCAGATACTCCACACCATCATTCTGCCATCAAAGTGATCATTGTGGTGTGCATAGCTGTGAATTTGACAGGTTTCTGACAAGACATTTTGTATGCAGACGTGTGTCGCAATGGTTCTGTTTCTCATCTCTCCTGCCAAAATATGCATCTTCACGTTGTATGAACAGTTCGTGTCTGTAAGTCATATCACATGGAAGAAAACTATAAGAAAAAATGACATACTTCTGTGAGGCCACATGATTTGTCTCACACTTATGATGTCATCATTGTGTGTCCAGCTTCAGTGTTTTTTTTTTCTTGTCATGTGTTGCTGTAAAGGAAAGGGTTAATTACAGGCCACTTGTCAGGGCACTTATCTAATGTTGCATTTGCACTGGTCAACAATGCGGCCTGTGTGCATACCCTACGACTATTGCACTATTCTAGTTGCAAATGTCCTAGCGGCTCCCAGTGACAAGAAAGCTTTAATATTTCATATCATATTTTTGGCTCTGATACGGTGGCACAGAATGCAGTATTCAATATAGTGTAGGATACATAAGATTGCATGTGTTTTAGGTGATGACTGGCCTGAAGAGATGCTTTCTGCTTTGCATTGAAGGACTGCTGGTTGAATTAAACTTAACGTGGCTTCAGGTCAAAAGAATATTTTTTAAAGGAAGGCAGGAAGACAGAATGGTCATTTAATATTCGAGGCTGCTTAGGTCATTCGGCATGCAGCGAGCTTGAAACATGTCTGTCATTTAGCAGCGTCTGTCGGTGACGATTGTTTGTGTCATGGGGCTGATCAACACATGCTGCTTGTGGCAAAAGTTCGTGTTCATAGAAACTCTGTGTGTGCGCGTCTAGTAGGGGTATTACAAGTGGATGACTACACCTCTCCGCCATGACTCACCACCAGATTCCTCCTGTGGCGTAACTGCCATTCTACCACACACAGATGATTAACACACACACGTTGTAAAAATATATGGCAAATAATGACCGATGAATTCGTCAACCTGTCACGGATTTTTATAAATTTTACAGCAGCACTGTCACAGTCAGGGAAGCTGGGAAATGTAGTGCCACTGTCAGCCACAGGTCAGATTCAGCCAGCATGTGTGCTGCTCAGAGGCAGCCAGAGCTGCTATGATTCCACCTAGATCATTCATCACTGCCACGGATGAGGATGCTGAAATTAACTGGACTCTCATTCTCGTCCTCTGTCTCATGCTCACAGCCTCTCCTCCTCCTCCTCCTCCTCCTCCTCCTCCTCGAGCGCAGGTCCTCCGCTCACTCTCTCTTTGTCTCGCTGAGGCATTGGCCTGCTTCTAGTCTCTGTTTCTCTGTGTTTTTTTCCCTGTTGCGCTTGTTTCTAGGCTTTGCTCTGTTGTTCTGCCTATTCTTTCTTCTCCACTGCGACTTCCTTTCCCCCTATCCCTTTCACCTCCTTGCAAAGGAAGAAAATGGAGATTGAGAACGGGGCAGACACAGTGGCGTTAGACCACTTTTGAAGTCAGGCCATTTTAGTGGTACAGTCCAGTTAGTGCCAGTGTACTGAATGTAGAGTAGCAAGGTTATATAGCAGGACTGCTTTCATAGTTGAGCAACCAGTTTGGAGAACACGCCAAGTGAACAGCAGCAGCAGTTTGGTCTTAGTCTTGTTTGACCTTGCTATTGATCCAGCAAAGAAATGTGGTTGGCCTGCTGGATGCTGCAGTTCTTGGGCTGTTTCAATAAAAGATCTGAAAGAAAGCAGAGTTTTAACGAAGAATACATGGAAACTTATTGATTTAGCAAATATGTTTGCTCCCTCATTATAATTTCAATTTGCTACTGGTTCAGGATAATGGCTCGTTGACAGAGTGAAATGAAAACGGACATGTAGAGGAGAAAGTTTCCCAGAACGTTTAGGTCAACATTTAGCCGTTGCTTTAAGGGCTTGCACTTTTGCAATTGGTGACCAGTGAATATTACCCTCCACATCACATTTCTACACTTGTTCTGTCTGCACAGTATTCAGACCCTTTCTTGTGCATGTCAGCAGTGTGCTTTCCTACCCAAGTTCTGTATAATTTACAAGCCTTTGTCCATTAAGAAAAGACATTTGTCTTTTCTCTGTGGCAGACACCAGGCGCTGTGAAAATAAGTCTTTTTGCTCCACTGCTGTTGAAGGAGACACTTAGTAAAGTGGCTTCAGACAATTGACACATGTTAAGTAGCATCAGGCTTGTCAATTCATCCACACAAGACTGCCACTGACCTCTATGAGAGGGAACCCATCAGGTAGATCCTTTTATGTGGTCTTTGCTTAATGGCCCTCATCCCGTCCAGACTCGACCAGTGATGTTTGGAGAACCCTTGACGGCCCTGGCGGAGTACGCATTGGAGAGGGACTCCACTCCTCTCCACTTGTATCCTCTCCTCTGCTCATCTCATCATAACGCCCCAGGCAATCTCTTAATTAGCCTCCTTAATTAGGTGGTTTCTGGTTCTCTGCGCCAGGGTAAATTTTGATCACATTCTGGTGAGGAGCAACACTTCCCTCTGATTTGCTTTCGAATGGCTTCTAAAGCGTGAGGTTTGGTTATTGGGTGGATCGAGATGCTTGAGCTGAAGACATGCCGTTCGTGTACCTTTGCATTCATTCTGCTTGTGCTTTTTTTTTTTTTATTGTTACGTGCCTGAAAGTTGCACTGCTTATGTGGCACTATAGGAGAAGGGCCTTATTTATGTTTTCACTTAGAATGAAAAAACAACCACAGGAATCAACCATTCCTTCCATTCAAGTCAATCTTAGACAGAGGTGCTGTGCTGTTGTTTTGGAGCAGTCTAGGATCTTGTGTGCAGCCACATTTTCCTTGTAATCCTATAATATCTTTTTGTGTTAAGCGAGCTTTAGTGGAGGAATTTAGACGAGTCTTGTGTCCTGCATTACTGGTCTGTGACATCCAGCTATCATAACCTAAAATAAACACATCTGTTTCGATTTCAGAGCTGCAACAAGTACTGCTTATTTTCTTTAGAAGTTAATCTTTGGATTTGTAGGTCAGGTAATCAGTGAATTGTGGATTGGTAAAACGTCTGAAAAAAAATCACCTGTATGTTAAAAATACCATGTTTTTTGTATTAACTGGTCATAATATGTGATCTGATCTTAATCTTGGTCACGAGTGTAGACAAAAACAATGTGCTTAAGCTAATAATGCACCAACAATTCCACCATTTGGTTCCTTTTTTGAACATGCCTACTAAACTAGTGCTGTTAGAAAAAGTAAATGAACCCTCGGATTGAATAACTGATCGAACCTCCTTTGGTGGCAATAAACAAGCAATAAACTCAAACAAATGCTGCCAGTAGGTGTGGATCAGACCTGTACAAGGTTTGGGACAAATTTTGAACCACTCTTTCCTGCAGAACTGCTTTAGCTCAGCCATATTCAGTGAATGTCTGCTGTGAACAGCTCTTTTGACGCTCTCTCAGACAGTGCCACTCCTGAAGGCAGATTTTTGCTGTTCTCTAGAAAATATGATACACATAGCACCAAAGAACAAACATCTTCCATTATTAAACTTTGCTCCTCAGTGATAGCTCTTAATTTATTTGATGTCACAAATCTTCCACACCATGTAAGTCCTGCATTTGTTTGTGTCTGGAAGAGACATGAATTCTTTGACAGCAGGTAACCTTTGGATTGCTGGCTCTGCCCTTTTTGTGGTTCTTATCACTTGGACATGTTCTCCATTATGAATTTAGGTATGTAAGTGCAAATCATTTCAGAGTATGCCTTTCCAGAGTACGAGCAAAGTTGCATGTACAGACTTTGCATGTCACGATTCCTTTAGTGAGCTCTTCAGTTTTTTTATATACCTAATGTGGATTATGTTAAATATGGATTATGTGTTCCATGTATGTTGTGCAACAATTCAAAATTTCTTATAAGACACGACCAAGAACTGTTCTCCTTTTTGTGGTTTGCAATATTTTTGTATTTATGCACAAAAAAAAACAACAAAGCCATCAAACTGGAATTTTCCTATCTTGAGCTATCACAGTGTTATGACAACAAATGATAAAGGTTTCAATGTAGATTGAAAGTGATGGATGATCTGCACTTGGCAGAGTCTGCTGCCACCTGGGGCACCAGGTGAATGCACGTCTATTTTATTTGCCTCTCCCTGAGTTTTCCCCTGTCTGGTTGATTCTCCCCCTGTGTACAGACATGTCCATATTTGGCCAGTGTCCCGCACAAGACGACTTCTACCTGGTGATGTGCAGCCACTGTGGTCAGGTTGTCAAACCACAAGCCTTCCAAGCACACTACGGTAAGTGTCACGCGCACACACACACATGCAAAACATGCACGATTATGTATGCCTTGTTGTATGCATATATTCAGAGTCATCTTTCATGCAAATACCATGCAGAGCTAGGTTTAGCATTTTCAAATTGCATCCATAACCCAGCACGACAAGGAGGTGCATGTGGACGGCGACGCAGTGCTCATAAGATCGGCGACGAAGGAACTAACAAAGTAGCTGATAGGGATATTTCACGCATTAACACACTGTGATATTACTTCTCCTACTGCCTTTGTATTCCCCATCGCTGTTTCTTCTCCGTGCAGTAACCTGTTTATTTATTTATTAAACTCACCACCTCACTTGTGTGTGTGTTTACATTTCCCCTGTTAATATTTGACTTGTCGCCCTCAAGTCTACCCAGTAATGTTGATTAGATTTCTGGTTCTGTTCATAGGGATGAGTGCATGCTTGTTTCAGTACACAGATTTTTACCCTTCAATAGTTAAACTGGATTTTTGACTAGTTTGCCAATGAAAATCAAGGCTCCTTGAATTAGTGATTGCATCGTTGTGGATATAGTGATATATAAATTTGACAGTACTGACAATGACAAGTTCAGTGACTGTCATGGCTGCTGAAAGAAATAAATTTCTGTTCACTCCCACACTCGTTCAAGTAAAAAGAGTTAACGTGACACCTGCCAGGCCTTGTTATATAGGGCAACTGAGTTGATGTGGGATTTTTGTCAGCTTCACTATACACTTTTTCAGAGCTGTGCATTCACTGTGAAGTGTGACAGCAGTTGCCAAGGTCAGCCACAAGAGGGAGCAATAACAGCACATGGCTTATAAAGGAACTGTCCTTGCAATTGTGTCAACAACGCTCAAAGAATGGACTCCTCCCACATGGTTAAACAATATAGACTGACACAAGCCTATCTGGACCTGATTGCTACATATGGTGTGCACCATCTAGATTAGTTTTCCAACCTGCCAGGGGAGTTTAAATGAGAAGTGGACAAATGCTGGAGGGCAATACCGTGCCTGTAAAGTAAAACAGTACTGACAGCGTCACAGCAGGTGACTGAGGTGCATCTTGAACAGGGTGGTATTGCTTCTGCTGACTGATCTGTGGAGTGCAAACACCCAAAATGATCAGTAGTTTTACATTGATTTAAAGGGGTTTATTATCATTTGTGGCCAACTCCAAACTATACATAGATATGTCTTTATGTGAGCACATTGTCTGTAATGTGTTATTAATTAAGAACAGAAAGGGCTTCCAAAAGAAAAATCCCTGGAGAGATGCATCTCTATTTAACTCAAGGTTTGTCCAAATATCAAATATTAGGCCCAAATTCCAGCAGTTGAAAACCTGAAGATTTTCCCTTTGTGCAGAGAAAAGCACTAATTCCACAAATATAAACTGTTGTAATCCAACAATTTTTGAAATTGCTTTTTTTTTTTTCTTCCTGATTTAAACTGTTAATCGGTAATCAAAATAGTTTCAGATGAATCTTTTGTTGTTTGATTATTGTTTCATCTCCACGGTGGAACAGTTTTGTTTAAGCAAACGTTCTGTGGTCATGCAACCATATGTGGCCATACAGACGGAGAGTGCTCTTGCTGTTTTTTACCCCATGTCTTCCTCTCGCTCATGTCATTATGGGAAGACCCCATGTGGTGCTACCACAGGGTAAAGGCACTGATCTCAGCACCGTTGAGATGGTCTCAATATGATTTTAGTGTGCTTCTTTGAGCCCATCTGTCTCCTGTTAGGTGTTTGTTCTTCTCTGCTGAGGCAGATCCCAGCAGGGGTGACACTCACCACTGAACAGGAAGCTGAAAGCTCGTCTGCCGTGTTATACATTCATTTATGAACTTGTCGAACAAAGACTTGTCTCATCAAAGATCTGGTGATACCTAAGCAGACGTACACAAACATGTTTCCTAATTATGCATCTTGAGCTCAGATAGCAAGAAAACTATCTCATTAACAACAAGGTTATTGTTGTTGTTTTGCAAATGTTTTTTAGTAGCTAGGCCATGCTAGGGCGTGAACATGGTGCCTGTGGAGATGGTAGTATGGGCATCACTTTTTTTGCTTTTATGTTTTTTTCTCACTCCAACAGCCAGGGATTCCCCTATACCACTGAGCCAACAGTTTCTCAGTGTGAAAAAGGATATGAAGGCTCCTCCTATTTCTTGTGTCTGTTGTTTGTATTTCCCCCCCACACACATCATTCCTGACTCCTGTTCTATTCTTCTACTACTGCCACTGGTCTTGGCTTTCTTTCCTCAGTGTTGGTGCTTTGTGGACAGAGCACTGAGTGTCATGCTGGGGTTTCCTGGTGTGAGTTTGTGTGCAGGGTGTGCTGTTGACTGTGACTGGGACAGGACAAGACAGCAGGGAAGGACGGAGGGAGGATGGCAGGGAAAGAACGGCCTTTGGATTGTTCAGTCACTAAGTAGTGGGAGAGAAAAAATCTGGAGTGTGTGGTGAATGGGTGTGTAAAGGGAGGCCCTTAGATAAGAAAAGGGCACTCTTAAAAGCTTTTTTTTCCCCCTCCCTGAAAAAAGAAACTGGAAGAAGGCTAAACATTTAGGTGTGTGTTTGTCTGGAACAGAGCTGAGGGAGATCAGGGGAGGCATCTTTTAGCTTTCATGTGTGTTAGTCCACTGTTTCTGCAGCAACAAGCCATTTTTCAGGTCACCTGCTGAGACTGAGTTTTGGCTCACGGCCCACTTCTCCGCTATACTATGGAGTTAGCTAAGCAGGCCCACACCTCTATATAGCTGAAGACAGAGACACATGCAAAACCTGTTTGCACTCCTAACGGTGTGTCCTCTTACCTTCACTTGATGTTACTGTTGTTTGTCATCAACTTATTTCTTGATGTTTTGCTCATACAGTGTTGACAACACGAGGGTAAAGTCAGCATTCAGCTTCGTTCTCTTGAACTCATCAGTACACAACTACCTCTCTGTGTGTCTGTCTCTCCACATATTATCAGAGCAGCAGGAGTGTGTGTCTGTCTGTGTGAACCCAGGGGCCCACTATGTCGGTTAGGGAGATGCTGCTGGGCCGGGATTCAAAACTCTGCTACAAGTTGCTTCAGAATTAATAAATGCTTTCATGATGTTGCTGTCCAGCTTTTTTCTTCCATTGTTACTGCTGTGGCAGCTAATGGACTCCAGACTGAAATGTGTGTGTGTGTCGTGGTGAAATTATTCTACGTTGTGGGATAGTAGCTTTTGTTGTATGCTGTTGCTAAAAATAGCATGATGAGAATGTTCTTTGAAAACCCAAAGCTTCTGTGATTGTCTTCTGTAATTCTGTAATTGCTATGATTGTGTGCACACAGGTGCCTGTGTTTGTTTATTGAGAATACTGTGGTGTACTTAAATATATTTGGTTTTGGATGCAAGCACTTAGTGATGAGATTTTTTATTCTTTCTTCTATTTTTGTCTCTCCATCCACAACTAAGCATCATCCTAACCTTTTCTGCTGTCGTACTTCCTTTTATCAGTTTGCACAGCAGCTGTTATAAGAAGCTCAGGCAGGAAATAAAGCTCTTGACCTGTTGGCTGGTTCTATTTCAGGCTGCGTTGGCATGAATCACAAATGCTGCTTATTTGTTGTTGAGGTAACCTGCTCACGACTGTCAGAGGGAGATTTGTATGTTCCCATGTGTCTTGTCTTTTCTCTTGACTCATGGCCACATTCACCCATATAGACCAGGCTGGTCAAGTGTGTGATTCTGATATCTCTAAAATGTAATTGAGGTAAGTATTGTGTTTTAATGCCAGCTTGATTTATGTTGTTGCTTCAGAGAGGAGACACAGTTCGGCCAGCAAGCCAGCCTCCACCTCGCCCTTCCCCGTGTCAGGCAGGAACCGGAGCAGTGGCAGCGGGCTTGGGCTTGGGCCTGGGCTGGGCTCGGGGTCTGTAGCTGCAGTGACAAGTGGAGGCATCCTTGGCCGACCTTCCGCTGCTAGCTCCAGTTTATCCTCCTCTACATCATCCTCCTCCAATCCCAAACTCCTCAAACCAGCCAAAGAAAAGCTGCCAGGCGTTCAGCAAAGATCCTCCTATGCCCCCTTCAGGTCGCTCCAGCCTGATAAGATGTAAGTTTTACTTTGCAACATGTGCCGCATTGTTAGATACTAGGGCTTAACAATTTACTGTTAAACTGAATGATCTGATATTTAAAGATAACTTGGATAAATAAGTGTGGAGTAAGTGTGGATTGGCTACAGCTGAGCTGCTTTTATGACCACAGTTTCCAGCAGACTTACCCATCTGTGATTATTGTTTAATTTCGCCTGTGTGGCTCAGCTGAGTAGAAATGACAGTTATTAAATACAGTTGTTACAATGATTGGGAATCAATCATCATGAGGTGGAGACCTCCTGTTATCGTAATTAAATATAACCCAAATAATAGAAATGAATTTACTTGTAGCAGTCATTTTAGTATCACTGAGCGTTTTAGGTCATTGTGGGAAATGTTGCAAATCAATGAGCAGGACTCCTCAGTGACTTTTCAATTAATGTGATGAAGTATTGTGATTTATTTTTAATAGATTCACTGCATTGGCTTAAAACTAGCATTCTCATCTAGGCATTTTATCTTTATTAAAAGCTTCTCAGTTGCATTTTTTTGATATCTTCAGGTACAAGTATCGTTAGAACACATATTGAAATACATTACCATTTTATATTCTGAACTCCAGCAACCCTTAAAGCTTTTCTAGTTTGTTAAAATGTATTGTCAATTATTATTAAGAGGTCTCCAATGTTGAATTATGTGTAGCTGACAAGTATTATATCTTGTGTCTTGTTTGTTTAAAGTCTTTGATAAATGATGGAACATATTAGATTTATGTTTTGTCCTCCCAGCCCCATCCATGCGTCCACATCTATCTCTTACCATGCGCTTCTCTCTGGCTCAGTGTTTCTAACTCTCAGCTTCCTCCTTGCTGCCCTCTTCATCTCTGTAACCTTCTCTTCCAGCCTCACCCCGGCTGTCAAGGTGGAGAAGATGCATCTGAAGGTGGACTCGTCAGCTAAGCTGGTGCAGGCTTCATCTGCCCCCGCCACCACCTCATCCTCCTCTACATCCTCCTCTAGCACCACTGTGAGCTCCAACACTACCGCCATCACGACCTCCTCCTCCTCATCAGCCCTTAAAGCAGGCCTTAACTGTCCCTCCATACCAAAGCCTCCATTACTGGCCCCAGGTCAGATTCTCAACGGCAAGGGCCACCTCTCTGTCCTCTCGGACAAGAAGCAGGACAGCAGCAGCAGTGCCAGTAGCAGACGTCACCTTAACAAGAAAGTCACAGGTCAGCTGGAGAGGGGAATGGTGGCAAATTATGGTTACAGTTTTGTGCTGTCCGCGTTCTGTATCAATAGGTCTAATTAATGAATGTGTTTAGATTGTAGTTTATTGTACCTTTAGAAAGTTTTCAGATCCATTCACTGTTTTCACATTTTAAGTTGCAGCCTTTTGTTAAAATTGTTCTCTTTCATTATTTCACTCATCAGTCAACACTCAGTTCCCCATAATGGCAAAGGGATGACGCACTTTTTAGAAGTAACTGCAGATTTATTGGACAGAAACAACTGAACTATCACACTGAGATTAAGTATTCTTTGTACTCAATACTTACTTGACGCAGAGATTACAACCTTTCGCCTTCTTGGGTATGATGCAGCAAACTTTGCACGGTCAGTTTTGGGAATCTTCGCCCATTCTTTACTCTGCCATCCTCTGAAGCTGTGTCAGGTTGAATGGGGAACATTGGTGGACAGACATTTTAGGTCACTCCACAGATTTTATATTATTTTTTATTTATATATATTGTCATTTCTTTTCATTTAATATGTTTGAAGTAAAGAAAGAATGAATGAAAATGATGTTTGGTTGGTTTCAAGGCTGGTTGCTGGCTGGGATTCTTAAAGGCATTCACAGAGTTGTCCCTAAGCCACTCAAGCATTGTGTTATTGGAAGGTGAGCCTTCAGCCCAGTTTTAGGTCCTGAGCACTGTGGAGCTGTTTTTTTTATTAAGGGTATCTCCGTGGGTTGCTCCCTTCAGCTTTCCCTCAACCTCTACCAATTTTCCTCCCCATGCCGCTTTAAAAGACCATCACACCATGACACTGCCACCACCTTGCTTCACTATTGGGGTGGTGTTAGGCAGGTGATGAGCGGTGCCTTGTTTCATGTAGATGCTTGAAATGAAGAGGAAACAGTTTAGTTTTGCAAACTCCAAGTGTGCTTTCATGTGTCTGTCACTGAGTAGAAGCTTCTGTTTGGCCACTCTGCCATGAAGCTGAGTGCTGAGGTGACGGTTGTCCTTCTGGCAGTTTCACCTCCACACAGAATCACTAGAACTCAGCAAGAGAGACCATTGGTTTCATTATCACCTCCCTTACCGAGGCTCCTCTCTGCCTGTGCTGTGTTTGACCAGGTGGCCCGCTCTGTAAAGAGTAGTTCAATGCAGCAGATTATTTATTTTTTCCTTTCCCAGATCTTTCTGACCACACAGTCTTCACTCTGAGATATGCAGGCAATTTCTTCAACTAAATGGCTTGTTTTTTTTTTTTGCTCTGATATGCTTTGGTAGGTTTGAGACCTTATATAAACGGGTATATGCCTTTCCAAAATCATGTCAGATCAATTGACACTTAAAGCTATACTTCAGTTGTCATAGCAATGGCCCTGACTACTTTTGTCAGTGTGATATTTCAGTTTTTTCCTTTCAATTAATTTGCAAAACTTTCTAAAATAGTTTTTTCACCTTGTCATTATGGGATATTGAGTGTGAACTGAATAGGGAAGTAGTAAAATAAAGTTTTAGAATACTGCAACATGTGGATGAAGTGAGGATGTCTGAATACTTTATGACTAGACTGTGTAGTGCTGTCTCATACAAAATATAGTTTTTGCCTATAAATAAAATTAATCACTTTCATATTAGAATGAAGGGACAAAATGTGGTCAACTGTTGAAAGACGAACCTACAATGTACACCACAGATAATGCCGTTTTCTAGGAAACACAAATCTGTTTTCGCAATGTCCAATTCCTCATCTAAAAGGCTTATCCAAGGATAACGTTACCAAATCTGGTCATTCATCCCAGTGTATGTAAGTAACAAATGTTTGCCTCTCACTTTTCTCCTTCAGAACGTGAATTCAATCCAGATATCCACTGTGGCGTTGTGGATATGACAGCTCGGAAACCCTGCACAAGATCCCTAACATGCAAGGTAACCAGTCTCTCTACTTTGTGCGCTGAAGCTGTAAATTATTTCCAACATTAGGCTGGTTATGTTATAAAGTTTTTGTCAGAAAATCCCATTAAAGGGCAACATCGAAGTTCAGTTGTTCAAAGGAGGATATAAAGGTTTCTTGACATACTTGTGGAGGCAGAGTTGAAGCTTCAGACCTCTTTCCCCATGGTAGCAGCTGACTGACTATTGAGGGCTGGTGTTTCTAGGACACATGTTTGCAGCGTCTGTGCTTTGCTACTAACAAGAGCACAGCAAAGCCCTATGTAGTCTGCAATTATAAACAACGGCATTTGTGTTCAATGACTGAACGCGTCATCCAGTGCAGCGGTGTCATTCATTTGTGCTATGGCACCGAGTAATGCATTATGTTGGCTTTTATAAACAGCATTTAGAATATTACCAGACTTATTGTTAACACTTTTTAAAGAACATTGTAATTATTTGTAGCAAAGTCACACTATCAAAATTTGCTACAGATGCTTCTGTCATGTACATTATTATACTGGCCCCAAAGGAGAGCTTCTTCATAGAATAAAACTTTTTTACCTTCTCCCAACAGACACATTCCTTAAGCCAGCGGAGGGCTGTGCCAGGGCGAAGGAAGCGCTTTGACACATTGCTGGCAGAGCACAAGAACAGAGCAAGGGAGAGGGAGCGAGACCTCCACCAACCCCATTCCCAGCCAAGCCCCCTTCTCAGGGACCCACACCCCTCCTCTCACCTCGCCCCTGGCCATGATGCCCACCAGGTGGCTCATGGCAATGGACCCGCCCCAGATGCCACTAAGCCTTCGCTACTTGGAAAGCCCAAATTTCACAGCCCTGGTCTTCCACGGTAAGTGCTGCATTACATTCATTTTATTGTTTCGCTTTGTCATGCTTTTATTGCATGTAGTGACACCAGGCCGATAGCCTTCCTCACTGAGAAGTGGAACAAACATATTTAGAATTTTGCATTTTACACATTTTGTGTGGTATCTGTCCATCAGACTAAACAGCAGTCACGGAGGGGGTACTTCCGGAGACCCTGCAGTAGTCCACGAGTCACTACACCATCCCCAAGCTACCCCTGATGGTTTTTCCAGACCCTCTAGTGACGAGGGAGAGAACGAGGAGCGAGAGGACAATGCTGACAAACTGGACTGTCACTATTCAGGTTATCACCCACGACCGGCAGCTGTAAGTGTGCTTGATCTCAGATTAGCCCCAGACAACTTTCTTTCTTTACTTAGACTATGATGAGCTGCAGTTCTCATCCAAGCCTCCCCTTTTGTTCCCAGTACTGTACCTTTGGAAGTCGACTGTTTGGGAGAGGCTGCTACTCCTTTGACCGGCGATGGGACAGAGTGCGATGTGCCCTAACCACGATGATGGACAAGCATGTCAACTCTCAGATGTGGAAGTGAGTGTGTCTGATTCCTCACATTGATGCTGTTAAAAAAAGGCTTTCTCAAAACCCCAATTGTTTTAGTCATGTGATGCTTACACATAGAGATTTACACTATACAACAGAAGGGAATATTCCCCTTTAGCATTTGTAGTATAATTTTAGGAAGAGGTAGTACTATGGCTCGGTCTGTATCTCCTGATTACTGCTGCAACCGTGTTTCCACTTATATAGTTAATCACGGATCTTCCTGTGTCCTTTCCCATCTCTTTCACAAACAAAATTTTTAAAACCTCTTGTACGTCTCTTTCTTTTTTTTTTTGTAGAGCTGTGATGCAGATAGACACAGCTCTCCGATCTAAAGCCAGAGTGTTTTTGTGTTGACATTGAGTTTCTACTTTGGGGCCCTCAATGTAGCCTTTAGAAAGGGTTTTTGATTGATCATGTATGGAAATAATCTGCTTGTCAACTTATGTAACTTGTAATGTAATTATAGAGAGATGCTACAGCAAAAATACATGACTGCCTTGTTTATTATAGTGAGAATTTTTGACTTGAGAACAGTCCTAACTAATGCATGCTCTTCTGTCTTGCTGCAGGAAAATCCCCTTGGCCTTGGAGAACTCCTCCTCTGTTGCACCTACCCATAGGACAAGCACAAATTCCCACGGTAGCACTCCCTCTTCAGGCTTCCTGGGCCCCCCTGCCACCTTGCCCCAGGCTCCTTATAGCCAATCCTACGAGGGCAAGTCAGTGCTCTCCTATGGGACCACCTTAAATGCCCGCAGTTCCCCGCAGGGCGGGGCTGAGCACCCGGCCTATGGCACCACGCAGGCCCGACAAGTGTCTTCGTCGCCGCAGATGCCTTCAGCCCACTTGTCCTCATCCTCTTCTTCTTCAGCTCCTTCCCTAGCCTCAGGCCGGGCGTTTAAGTCCCGTTCCTCCAGCAGCAGCACTACCAAGTCATCATCGTCCTTCAGGCCCAAGGAGATCTCATCTGGTTCCTCCACACCCGTCATCCCCAACTCCATTAGTGGAGGAAGCAGCGGAGCTAACAGTAACAGTAGCAACACTAGCTTCAGCTCGGGGAAGAAGAGGAAAAACAGCTCTATCCTCTCTTCATCCCATGGCTCCTCTGACTCCTCCTCTGCTAATTCCAACTTTTCTTCCTCTTCCTCCTCCTCCTCCTCGTCTTTCAAGAAGAACTGTGCAAATGTCGGCAGCTCAGGGAGCACCTACCACCACAGCTCATTAGGTCCGCCAGCCTCATCGTCATTATCCTCCTCCCACAGTGGAGTCCACAGCGTGGGGCTTAACTGTGGCCGTACTGTGCGGACCAATTCACTTAGCCTCAAGGCCGAACCTTCTGGAGGTTCAGCAGGCGGCTCCTCTGGGCCACCTGCACGAGGTCCTCCCTCGGGCAGCCCTGCAGAGTCCATCAAGCGTATGAGTGTGGTGATGAACAGCAGTGACTCAACTCTTTCCCTGGGGCCTTTTGTCCACCACCAGCCCTCATCCTCATCTGACCACCACACCAGCTTTAGCCACCACTCCTCAGACGGACGCCTGGAAGGCAAGAAGCGCAAAAGCTCCTCTGCCTCCAGTGGTATTAATAGTGGAGGTGGTGGAGGGGGGCTTGGAGGAGGAGGAGGGGGACCTGGACCAGGTCGACCCAAAGTGGCCAAGTCGCCTGCTATTAACAACATCCATGGGAAGCATGGGCGGAGCATTCCAGGGACGCCGGGTCTACCGAACAACTCCCATTTACATCAGGTTGGTTTTGTAATACAGAGGGATGCATTTTTATAACAGTGGACAATGTGTGTTTTATGTTCGAGATTAATGTCTGTTTAACTTATACATTTCACATATTCTGTGTATTTAAGCTGCACTCTGAACTTTGAGGGGGAGGGGCGATCTCAAGTTCTTGTATCGCAGACAGAAAATAATCGACTTTTCAGATGAATCGTACAGATCGTTTCATTAAGGGTACTATGTCTGAAAGTTTAGTTGTTGTTAACCAGCTAGCCTCATCCCATCCAGTGTTTCCCAGCTGTGTACTGACCAGATCAATGTTGTTGATCAATGTCGTTTAGCTGCCTGCCAGGTGAGTCTGTCGTTCCATGGACAGACTCAAACTCTACTGTCTTGGACTGTATTTGGTTAGAGTAGTCCTTGTTCTGCTCTCTGGGAGATCCACTGCAAGCTGGAGGGCTACTCTAACCAGAACTTGCAGCAGGCAGAGAAGTGGTTATCGTGTCTCTACGCCCAGCTCACTGAGGCTGCAAAGCAGAACAAGGATGTCATATTAGTCCTTCCATGATAAGACTACCTACGCCAGCTACAGTCCACAATACCTGTGTTGGAAATCTGTCCATGGGAGAAGAGATTAACTGGAGAGTCATCTAAACAACTTCATTCACCACAACAGCAACCTCCTGCAGCAAATGCAGCAGGAGAAGCACAAGTCAGACCTGGGCAGGCTGGTTAGCAGTGGCTGAAAGAAAGTGTGATGCAGTGGAAATACAAACCACCAGTTATGCTCAAGTTAATCATGATGGCATGAGTTCAACTATTGTAATTCAGACCGTAAATCATCAGAAGATCGACATATAATTTTTTGGCCAGATCCTACCACTACCACCCCTCTCCTTAGCTATCTGACAAAATGTAGGTGTGCTTAATAAATAAGACATAACCACACATAGATAAATGTGACATTTACTGAAAGAATAGATATAGCAGGGCTCCAGACTGTGTCGCGTTTGCACCATTTCTTGAGAGTGTGCTAGTTGAAATTTCAAGTGGTTGCATTGGTGCGAGTCCATGATGATCATTAAGCTGTATTAGTTTCACTGTAACCGACACAGGAAGCTGCTGTGTTAACCACAGTGGTGGGAAGTAGAATGTTCATAACGTCGCTGTACTGCGGTATTTACGCTTAAAAATGCGGTCTTCTCATGAAGAACGGAGTGCACCTGCATTTGTGTTTTCCGCTAATGAAAAAGGGCGCAAATCTGATATTAGAACGCTCTAGTTAACTCTTTTTTGGTCTTACACCTGTATCAGCACACCACAGGTGCCAACAGCCTGCAATGTGGTTGTTTAGGGAACATCTGTAAATTGTAGTGTCCATTGATAAGAAAATGTCCAGCAAGTCATATGTTTTGCCTGTGACATGGTGGGGAGGTGCGACCAAATGAGAAAGTTGGTCGCACCAGTGCTACCAGTGGAAAAGTTAGTGTGGAGCCCTGACAACTGATTCAATGTCAGGCATTCCTCAGTTTTAAATGTAGAAATGTTGCTGAGATGGCACAAGCAATTTGAACACGTCCGCTCAGGCTGTTTTTTGTGATGACCATTTTTCAGCTTCTTGACATTTCAACAAATAGAGATGAATCAAAAAATA